TTTTGCTGTTGAATAGTGCAATGATCACAATACAGTCTTATTAAAAAATGCAGTATCACTGACTGGTGAGTAACACTAGTAACATGAGTAACATGGACAACACTGGTCACGGGCAATACAGGCATCACGGGTAACACAAGTAACACGAGTAACACCAGTAACACGAGTAGCAGGTAACATTAGTAACACCGATAACAGGGCAAAGTATGGCCAAAGCCTTAGAACAAAATTTGAGTGAAGAGGAGAGGGGAGGAGGAAAGTCATAAGGAAAATTCATTTTGCTTACAAATCTAAGGAACCGCAATAAACTATGGACGAAGAGACGAAAGGGATTGCAAACAACGTAAGCGTTGAAAGCTCGTTGTTTTGTTTGTTATCACGTTCTTCTTAAAATCAAGTAGTGAAAAACGAGATAGAAAAGGATACAGAAAGGAAACATAGCCAGTGACCGTTTTCATCAACGAACCCAGTGGATTTCGCTACCCATGTAGGCTTAACCTATGAGATCGATATTCACGAAGTTAGGTGGGTTCGCCAACCTAGTGGCATTGTTTTCGCTTCCCATTAGATAGCGAAATTAGCGAAACTACTTTTCGTTGATGAATACGGCGACAGGATGTTTCCTTGCCTTCCTAAATTTCCTAAGAATGAATTTTACAGACGTCTTTGGAAAACTGAAGTAAAGTGTAATATGAATAATTCTTCAGCTGCACAAATTTTTGAGTGAGCAGTGCACTTCACTGAATATACACTGCAGTATAACTTATCAACCGGAGAGGGTTTTGAAATCGAAGTCGCCATGAAGTAATGGTGTGAATACTTGCCATCAGCTTAAAATGCTAATTTCAGATTTGTAACATTCATCGGCTGAGTGTATTAAAAGGCTTTGAGCGTTCGCATCCGCATACCTGTCAAATCCAAATAAATAATATAGTCTTTGTGTGACTGAAACCTAGGAGCAAGTTGTGAAAAGCCTGAAAGGTAGGAATAATTGTTTTTTTTCATGAGTACATTATATTAGGTTGAACCGAAAGTTCTGTCCCTCCATTTTCAAAAATTCGTAACTTCGCCAGATTTCAACGGATTTGCTTGCTCGTATTTATTAGAAAGAATAGATCTTCCGCTTTCAAGCCCTGTTTTGCGTAGCTTCTGTTTCACACTGAGTGCCGAGATAAAAATGGAAAACTAAGACCATGTAAACTTTGACCATTTTAAGTTAGGTCACCAAAAATCTGGAATGCTGCAGAAAAATCTGAAATCGTCAGTACATATGTTTTTTGGCCTACCCTTTGCAATTGTGAAGAGTTTGCGCTGTTTGGACGTTTCTGCGAGAAGTTATGATTTTCACGAAAATTGCCAAATTAATTAATTTTGGCGTTATCCATAGTAAACTCGATATTCATAACTTCTCACAGAGATGTCCAAACAACACAAACTTTTCACAGATGCAAAGGGTAGGCCAAAAAACATATGTACTGACGATTTCAGATTTTTCTGCAGCATTCCGGATTTTTGGTGACCTAACTTAAAATGGTCAAAGTTCACATGGTCTTAGTTTTCCATTTTTATCTCGGCACTCAGTGTGAAACAGAAGCTGCGCAAAACAGGGCTTGAAAGCGGAAGATCTATTCTTTTTAATAAAATTACGAGCAAGCAAATCCGTTGAAATTTCGCGAAGTTACGAATTTTTGAAGATGGAGGGACAGAACTTTCGGTTCAACCTAATATAATCACAGAACATGTATGAATTGTATTCTTTGACAATTCAGAAAGACTGAGGCAAAAGACTACAGGCTTTACTTCGTGAATCGATATGATTTATGGAGCTTGATCTACAAACTTGACCTTCGACCGTGCTATTTGGATAAGATTGACATGAATTCACGCAATGCTGAACATAATGCAAACTTACGACCTCTGACTTCTTATATCTCTCTTATCAAATTAATAAAGGCTTCAGCTCCGTCGAAGAGTTAAGCTATTTGAAACCTGTAACCATCATTTTTAGTGGCAGCAACACCTGTAGCAGCACCCTAACAAGTGAGGTCTGCAGAAATTTTCTCAGAGGGGAATGTGACCAAGTGCAATATGAAGCTGCGAACACTTTCGGCTGCTAACCAGAACGACGGGAGCCTCTTCAAAGTCTTTAAATCATAGGAAACCCAAACATTTGCTGCCCAATATAGTAGCTCAACCTGTTATAGGTTTTCTGTTGAGTCGAACAGTGATCGTAAGCGATGTATGTGATTATATAAAACCAAAAATGCTTTTCCCAAATTTTTCATAGCAGTTCACAGACAGAGCTTGTTCCTACAGCGGCTTTCTTTTACGCTTCCGAATTTTGAGCGAATATGCATTATTGTCGTTGGCATTCTCAGAAAACAGGCGACAATTAGGGTGGTCGAATTTAACTACGTTCAACCCAAAAATGTTGGTGACGGAGCTTTAAGGCACGTGGGCATATAACAAACTGTACTACGAAAGACTAGATCAAGCTGCTTTTGTCAGAAATCTTCGTGCTTTTGGAATAAAATTTGCATTGAATTTGCCTACCTAGGAAGTGGAAGGTGAAGCCGTAATGCAAGTTATCTGAGGGGAAATTGTTCAAAATATCATATGTCTGTGTGCTTCCGCTAAAAGTGCTCAGTCATTTGAGAGAGAGCTAGCTGGCCTCTTTTTGTTAATGAAGACGTACACGGCATAACAATAATTAATGACAGTTGCCTTTGCTAATAAGGCACTTATGACCATTTAAAAAGTTGATTCAAAATCTGCCATTGCCCAATGCTAAACTGTTCAGCGGCAATGCATGTTTTGCCTTGGATCAAAGCATTGTGAGTCATACATCAAGTACATAGTCTTACATCATCGCGGGGAAGCGGCGTACGCGGCGTACGCAGCGTACGCTCGGTATGTTTCATCATAGGAGCATACGCGGCGTACGCTGCGTACGTCGCGTACGCCGCGCAGTCTGGCCCAACCCGAAGTGGCCATACTTTGATTCTATCCCCTTGGACATTCCCCACTAGTAGACAGCTTGCAAGCAGATTTTGGTTTTGAATCTTCCTCTGATCCTTCTTATTTCTGGGCCTCTTTCAATGATGCGTATTTTCTTTCCTGCGTTTTGAGCAATAAATTCACGGCAAAAGAAGTGGTTGGGAAGCCAACAAAGACGAGATTTTTTGCTGAAAGGAGCTTTGCTGCTTTTTCACCCCAAAATTTGCTGCAGACAACTGAGTGAGCTCGTGTTGCACGAATTTCCAATGTTAAAAAAAAACGGCTTGACACATCGAAATCTCACAATTTCTTCTTTGAGCACCGGCTGCACCGCAAAACCAACAAAAAAACGAAGGAATGGTTCTGTAACTAACATAACACATGAAACAGACTTGTGTGAAACAGATTTGTGTAAAAGAGATATGCAAAATATATGAACTGGCAGTGTTGCCAAGGCGACATTGGCAATTGCTGATCTTCTGAAAAAAGTCTGCCTGAGTTTCAAAATGCACTCAATGCAGCTTTTCCTTCTCTTTCTTATGGATTACATTTTCGAACCACGATCCTGTATTTTTTTTTGATTACTGTTAAAATTCTTCACCCATCATTTTTATCTGCTTAAAGTTCGGCTAATTTTTGAGGATTTCATTTCAAAGTGCTGAAAGGGTTAAGGATGTCTCAAACAGAGCAATTCTTGGGCTATATGCTAATATTTTTAGATTCTCTTAATCTGCTGCTTTTAGCTCTAAAAATTATTTATTCGAAGGTCTCGATTTTTGGCAGAATCATGAAATACGCAACTGCAGCATAAACATGAAAACTTTTGGAGTTTTTGCGAATTGAAACTTGTTTGTTATTAAACGTTATATGTGCAACATAACCAAGTTTGATTTGCTTTGAAAAATCAACAGGGCCGGTAGTAAACCTGTCGAAACGCGCAGCTCAAACTCAGAGTTAACTCCGAGTTAACTCTGAGTTAACACGCAACTTTCAGGGACCATTAACACCTGCATAAGCAAACCAAATTGGGAAAGGGTTATATGGCAGGATACCCCGCAAGACGTACTTTATGCCAAGTATGGAAACGTAGCGTAATTCGTTCCACGCGAGACGCTACGCGACGAAACGCGCAGCTCAAGCTGCGCGTTAACTCCGAGTTTGCTGCGCGTTTCAGGCTCGCCGAAACTCGGAGTTAACTCCGAGTTTCGTTAGAGAAAGAGAAATAGTGCGTAAACGCAGAGGTCCATAAAAAAGTCCTCCGGGGTAGATTTTGCTCCGAGTTTCATGAAGCATGATGGGGGTATCATGGTGCACCGTTGAACACAAAAATTTGAAATTTTGTAAAATTTTGGTCCCGGGGGTTATCCGACGCGCTGATCACGAATCCGATGCTCATTTTTCGCCATTCGCCCACATAAGGGGGTTACGGTAGGTATACGGTAGTTGGGCGAAAGTCACAAAATTGGCTGAAACTTGGTACATTGGGGTTATTTCGCATGCTGATCACGAATATAACATTCGTTTTTCGCTACGGGGCCACGGAACGGGATTACGGTAGGTATACGGTAGTTGGGCGAAAGTCACAAAATTGGCTGAAACTCATTATAGTGGGGTTATTTGCCACGCTGATCACTAATTTACTATAATCATTTTGCACGAAAATCCAATTCATGATTTTCAGTAGCCAGCCATGATAGCCGTATTTTGTCTTAAAAAGCTCAACAGCTGCGTTCGTTGTATCGAAGTCATGAGGTCAAGTCTAATCCTTTACACAAAAGCACATGCGCAGTGATCTTATAGAACGACTCCTGATGGCACAAACGATCCTTTCTACTTGAATTTCACTGTTATGATTTCGTGTCCAATAACAATATAGTAACTACCAGCAATAAGCATCTACTATACAGTCCTAACCGTTTCATCCCCAAAAAACTGCAAATGTGACATTCTCTTGGGAGATTTTCTATCGAATCCAAACAATCAAAATCCTCTCCCCAAGCAATATGGAAAGAAAAAGCACAGTTCGCGTTCCTCGTGCACTAATTGTCGGATGTGAAAGCGCACGCCCGACAATTCATCGCACGCAAAGGACGCCATTTGAATCCATTTCCCCTGTAAATGCGGTAGGCATTACTCGCGTCATCATTCTTACTACTTTCCATTCCTGGTATTCCTGGTATTCATCATTAAGGGAATTACTTATGCGTTGTTTTCTCTTCAGCTTCTCTGATCACTCATTCTTTTGTAAAGGAAAGTCCTTTTTTTGCTATAATAATCTTTTCTTTCCTATCCTGGACTTGCAGGGTTACTACTTGAATTTTGAATCAGTTTTGGGTCAAATGTCTCAGCGATACGAGCGCACTCATAATTTATTGTGCAGAAGGTATTTTTACAAGGACTCTTTCTGCTTTTACCCTCTACATTATACCGATCATTTTAGCAGGAAAGTCGAAGTCGCTCATCATCTTCCTAGCTGGACTTTCCAACATGATAATCCTTTGCAATGGGACATGGTGATGAAAGGTGTGTATTATTTGAGAAGGGTTTCGAAAAGGCATAATTCTCTCCAGACCTTCATTTGCAAAAGATACACCTGCTGAAAATTTCGTTACGAAGGTTGACGTGTTGCTTTGATCACTGAATCTTTGCATGCTTCTATAGGAATTCGTCCATACTTCAATAAGGTAGTCCCGCATTCATAGATATTTTCTTTATCATGAACGAGGCCTTTGAGACTAATCTTTCCAAAGAAGACTATAATCTAACAATAGACGCAATCATTGAGCATGACAAAAAGAAGTGCAAAGGTGAGGGATGAGCTTAGTCTAGAGTGATAAATCAAGTAAAATTATCAAATTTTGCAGCCCCGTGCTCTTGGGATCTCTATTCAGCCAAGGAAGTGAAGCAGGATGTCTTTTATAGGTTGGAGATCCGTTTTGATTCGGTAAGATTCACTGTGAAGTATGAATTACTTTTGTTGATGTTTTCTGACATAATGTTTTCATGCAATAGGTGATGGGAACTGTATATCTCCCTAATAACAGTCTAGCGAACCTCTGAGGATTTGGAATGGTCCGGTGAGTCTTTTTTTTAAATATTGCATGCGTTGAACTCTGCTATTGAAATCACGAATTTTGACTTCTATGTTTCCTTGTAAAGTGACAAAATCACTCGACATTATATGTCTGAATTCTCTAAATACAGTCTTTTCATTTCATATGATTATGTGTGTCATTGCACACACAGTCCAGCTTTGGCGTTCCCATGCTGGATTCTTGGAGGAAACAACCCTCTAGGGGCGCCATCTATTCCCACCGGGCTGGCTGCGCGGGCGGTTTGCGCGCGGCTGCCGTGAGTGGCGCAGGAGCGCTTATATCCTCTTACTCATGTGAATTTATCTTCAGCCCGGTAGGAATAGATGGCGCCCCCTATAGGTAGGTGTTTTAAATGTGCTCTTAACACTTTCTTTCCCTTTTAAGTACTAGTCACCTCAAATTGATGTAGTTAATAACAAAAGGTAATTTTCTTGCGTTTTTGCGATTGGAAATCCAGGGGACGTCAAAGGTGGACTGTGCGTGCAATGTCACACATGATCATAGGAAACGAATCAACTATGTCTATGTTTTTTTCAGATAAAAACGAACGACCTTAGTTCTTTACCGAGCGAAATAATGAAGATTGGATTTTGCCGACACTGCAACTTGAGTGGTCACGAGTAAAGACTGCAGAAAATATGGAGAGAATGCAAGAAATGGAGGGAAACTAGCCAATGAACTAGCCATAAAGATAGCCAAACAGCGAGAGGAACGCTCTTGCGAGGGATGGCCCTACGAAATACAGCTGATAGAAAACCATCTTTGTCCGCTCGTGCCACCTATTCAAAATCGTGTGCATCAGAACGAATGCATAGCCTACGGTGATCGAGATACGGTGCCCACCCAATCGTGACGAGAAGCAGCCTCGTATTAGACTGGTTGCAGAAACTCTCAGAATGGAGGATGCACTGGTTTTGAATGAAAAAGAAAAGGAGCTGGAGCGCCGTTTACAAGAAGAGTTCGAAGAAAAGGACCGAGTTATGACAGAAAAAATATGCATGCAAGTAGCGAAATTTCAGTTGGAATACCGCAGCAACCAAAAGTCAATCTCCCTTGCAGCACTATCACTGGTGCCATTGTAGTCAGCCCCACCATACCGCCTACAACTTTTTCCAGATATGGAAAGGACGGCTGTGACAGAGAGACTTATGCAGATAATGACGACGACGAGTGTGCCAGACAGTATCGGAACTCTGGGGCATTCATATGTTTGATCGTAGCTAAACGCAGCATCTTTTGCGTGAAATGAAGGAGCTTTTAATTATGCTGATTATGCAGGATCGAAAGGATAAATGCTAAGTAAGGAAAGAGATAGAGGTTACAGCAGCAATGCAGAGAGAACGAGAAGAATGAGAAATAATCGTCATCATAACCATAGTCCTGCACATATATCCCGCACTCCTAGATGTGATAACAAGAGGCATGCAAATAAGAGGAATACAAAGGAGCGCGGCATTAAGTGGGTGCAATCCTTCTCCGCTAGTAAACGCGATGTCTAAAAGTTGATGGTTATTGCTGCCCAACCTTTTCTTCATAAAGGACGAGCCTGCATCCACTGTCGTTAATGAAATTGAAATCGAACGACGAAATGAAAGATAAGAATCAACAACTAAGTATGCTACGGCAACTAGTCATCGTCTCGTACATCAAACAAAGTCGATTTCGGCTGCATTTTTTCACTTTAACTTTATACATACTTTTATCTTTCCACAGTTGTTAGCTCCTATAAATATCATAGTACCTGCCTTACACATCATTTGATTTTTGACTAACAAGGCTAGGATAATTGGTCGACATGAAGCTTTCATATGAAATTATAGAGTCTCATAGAGAATGTCTTATAGAGTAAGATATGCTGAAACTCTGTTTTCATTATCTTCAAAGTGCTTTTGGGAGGAGAGTGCAGGCAGTTTTAAAACGAAACTTTCAGTATGAGACTACAATAAAACCATTCATAACTGCAGTCTGTAAGCTAGAAAGGCCACTGGTTACTGCGAGGGCTTTATCCGATTGATACTTGCAGCCTGCTAAACATACGTTAGTCATTACTATGCACCGGAAATACCTCAACACTTTACCTTAGCCAAATCCTTGAACTTCATCTTCAGGTAATCTCCATAAGTCTCTCTTAGATGCGCTTTTCAGAAACCTTAAGCAGGTTTGGCATGATTACTTTATAAGATTGTGTACTTTGCATATGGAAGTTTCACGTCGATCAACATTTCTTCTCTTGTAAGAAACATGAGCACGCTTTCGTACGTCCGATCAGCAAGTAATTTATAAGTGCCTTTTCACACGTTTTGGTAGATAATCATACACAATTCATGAAAGAACGCCTCCGTCCATACTTGCTCGCTGGGGTTTGGAAGCATGAAGTAAAGTTTTCTTTCTTAGTCTGTATTTGCCTCTCTCATTCACAGTACTTCATATTTTGATCTAATTGTAATATTGTTTCCTCTCACTGTATTACTCGCTCGTAATAATGTGTTATACAAGGACACCGACCACCGAACCGAATCGTGCATTCACACTATGCGGGCGCGGGTTTTTGTAGCCTTTCCAGTTTTACCGTACCTGCTGCGCGCGGGATATTCGCATATATAACGTTATCAAAGCATTTATCTTTCGTGTTGATTCTCTTTAAGCACTCATTCGTATCCCGTTTCTTTCGGGTCCACTCAATGATTGAGCTTTGAGTTTTGAGGCACTTCTTGAATTTCTTCCCTTTATTCCTACCGCCAGTCTTTTTCGAGAATTGTGAACCATCGCCCCGGGCAAAGAGGAATGAAGTGAGTTCACTTTAAATGCACACATGGGTGACTATCATGGCTGTCCCCGAGGTCAGACCATCCATATGCTTATTTCGGCATTCTTGCTTGACTCCCTGATGTAGGAGTGCTGAAATACCTCTGAAATCTGAAAATGGTCTGAAAACCGCGCCGTGGTTTGAATGCACGAGTCGTGGTGGTCGCGTTGAATATCCTTTACCAGTCTTTGCAGTAACGTTGCCACTTCTTTTTGCTCCTGTTTGTGTGCAGTTTTTTGAGACCATCAGTGCCATTAGCGGCATACCGGCGGACGAACTTTCACGTATATCGATATGTATGTTGCTTTCAATGAATTAACCAACAGAACGTGTTCAATAGTTCTATGCTTAGGATGAAGCGGAATGCTCCTATCACGTCAGAGTTATCAGACTACATAGTCGAAGCCAGTCATGAAGAAGAAAAACGTGATACTAGAGTCGTCGTCGATCAGAATGATGCAGTCGAACAAAGCAAGGAAAGATGCGTGGCAGAAAATCTCTGCAGAAATTTTCAAAAAGTTTCGCGTTCATTTGAAACCGACTCAATTACGGAATCATTTCAATAATAGGAGGAAAAAGGCGATGGGAAGTGACAAATAGAAAGAAGGTACTGTTCTCTTTTATCATATCTTGCGAGCATGATGCGCTGTAAATGTTACAGGTACAGGCTAAAAACGGGTGGAGGCACCTCGCCAGATGAAGAAGAAAAAAATTTTGAATACTGAAGTCAATGATAAAGATTTGCAGTTGTACAATTTTTTTGTGTCCAAAGTCGCGCATAAGGGACTAAAAAACAGCGACACCCTACAGACAGGGAGGGTATGTTTCAACATTGATTACCATCTTTGTTTCATGTCCAAACTTATTGTAGGAGTCCCCCGTTGCAGCAGATGGAAATGTCGACGATGAGGAAATCGAGGCAGAAGGGATAGATATGGAGGTGACTGTTGGCACATTTTCTGGAAGCCGTTTCACAACTGCGTTTATCTCATATAACCATTTAGGCGGAGGAAGACCTCAATGACCAGGCTTCCTCGGAAGATGACGAAGAATTCAATCCGCGCAATGTATCCATGGCCCAGCTTGAAAGGCTTGATGCGAAACGAATCATGGTGATTTTTGATAGAAATTACTCAGAGGCATTGTCCCGGCCAAATTTTACTCTCCGGTTTTTCACCTCTTGGCAGCCTCCTCGCCATGCTAAGGCATACTCCATTTTTCAGCGCTTGAAAGCGGTAAAAATGAGCGAATGAGAACCCTCACTAACTACATTTAAGTTCGTGTAAGAAGTGAGGGGGCCTGGAAATGTGCGAGGTCCGGAAGAAGCGCATTTTCGCCCCAGACTTCACCGACAGACTAACTAGAGGGTCATTGCAACGGTGAAATTTCGCTATCCATCATTTCGAGGGGACGCAGCCTTTAAAACACCCTAGCAATAGATAGCATTTGGTATCAAACCAAATGTTTCGATACTTGGACAAGACTGGCCAACGTGCAAATCGGAGTTATGGAAGAACTTTTAGCGCTCATGAAATCCATCACGAAATCGATTACGGGCGCACACAAGGTTAGGCCCTTATGCATTAGACACCCTGCGCAGAGGGAAGCCCGCTTCCCTCCCTGCAGGCACGTTAGTAAATACGTACCTCATATCTTAATTCACGTACAGAATGCTGGAGTGGAGAATAGTGCTGGTCTGGCTGAAACGCAAGAATATGGTGATCCTAATATCGAATGCAGCGTTGTTCCTGAGTAATTCGATCATCAACTATCGCGATAATACTGAGAATGCATGAATAATAGAATACAAGTGATTTTCCCTGTGAAATCTTGCCTTTCGTTGATCTCTTTTCTCAGAATCTCTATTATAAAGATGTGAATTTTGCGGATTTTTCTTTCTGCTTGATTTGAGAAGATACAGTCTATCAGCGGGCTTACTTCTTCTCGTTTTCATTGACACAGTAAATTCAGTTTTTAGAAACCCAAACACATCTTATATATATTGGCGACACGAAAGAAGACAACGGAACGTAAATTATCCCCGATCAAATCATCGTCATTTATCTCAAAATCAGTCGCTAATTCGGTCGCGTTTCCGTTTCAATGATAATCAAATCGATTGGCTTACACGAGAACTTTGGGAATTTCTCGGGAACGACGCACAAGAGCCTTGGGCCATATCGAAAAGAGCGCAGGTATTTAACATCGTTTCTTGTGCGCTTTATGAAAGCTACTTTACAGGTGCTCGTTGGAATAAGATATCTTTGTTCAAATTCGCATCAAGTCGTTGTCAGTGATACTATAGGATGCAGTCAAAAGACCGTATCCAACATTGTCACCAAATTTGTGAGCGCATTAAACCACCCGCGATTTGTACGACAATATCTCGTTTTCAAACCTGAAGATCCAGTTTGATGTCGCAGACGTGCAGAAGAATTTGCCCGATTGGGGCGTTTCGTTAGTGAGTGACCATTTGCAGTAATCGCCTTGAGCAAAACCACAATGATCACATTTAGACGTGATCGGATGTGTGGATGGGACGTTAGTCCCAATACGTGCCCCTTCTGTTGATGGTTTCCAGTATATGAGCCGGAAGGGGTATACGTGCTTGAACGTCCTCGTGATCTCCAACGCCATTGGTTTTATACGTTACGTAAATGCCGGATTCCCAGGGTCAGTACATGACTCATATGTGTGGAGTCAGTCGGAAGCCGGCCGGATATTCAGAAAAGAAAGAGCAGTTGAGGGATATACTCTGTTGGGCGACGGCGGTTACGCCAATGGGGGCGGAATAATGACTCCATATCGGACAAGTAGCGTTCGCGGAGACCAAAGAAGGATTGCGTTTAGTCGCGAATATTGCAAGATTCGATCCGCAATTGAAATGACAATTGGAAGGTGGAAGCGGCGCTTCAGTATCCTTAACGAATTGCGCGTTGATCCAGACAAGGCCGTAAAAATCATCATAGCGTGTGCAGTACTGCACAGTATCTCGATGATTCTAAACGCAACGGGCAGGCGATTGTTGGGAGGCGGAGGGGGCGAATGCCTCATCCGCCTCCCAACAATCGCCTGCCCGTTGCGTTTAGAATCATCGAGATATTGTGCAGTACTGCACACGCTATGATGATTTTTACGGCCTTGTCTGGATCAACGCGCAATTCGTTAAGGATACTGAAGCGCCGCTTCCACACGTCATGGAGATGTTGTAGAAAAAGGTGAGGAAATTGGAGACCAGAAAAATTTTTTGGGGTGCTTCTCAAAACTTTTGCGGGTCCCCGACCCCAAAAATCTGAAAAAAGGGGGCGTGGCGTTAGCCACGCCCCCGAAAAAAAATTTTTTTTCAAGGCTAATTTGATTTTTAAAAAATTTTTAAAAATTATTTTAATTATTTACAAAAATGAACAAGTCACTTGCACATTTTTATAACCCATATAAGTAACTTTCAAAAATTTCGCGACCCATTCTCGGGGGGGGGGCGCGCCCCCCCCCCGCCCCCCCTCGGTACGCCACTGCTTTAAAGGTTTATAAAAAAGTGCAGTTTCCTCTCGAATTTCCTCGGCTTCTGATTGGCTCCACACGTAAAGCTTGATGAGAATGAAGTGAGGAGAAAAATTAGAAATTTTCAGATCACACGTTTCTGCGCCTACGATCAACAGCTTTTCTCTCATTGACTTGGTAACATTCCTTATCTAAATGCGATTACTTGTATAACTGTTCAGGTGAAGTTCAATGGTACTCCAGCACGGCGCAGTGGCACGCATAGGATATAACCAGACTTGGCGTTCGCGTACTTCGTGATTGCCGGGGAAGAAACAGGCTAGTCCTTTTCGTCTCACAAACCTTCTTTAGTTCACTTTGTCTTTTTCCTATGAATATCATAACTTATAATAACGGGCTAAGGGTGTTTACGTGTTTTTGTGTGTGTGTGTGTGTGTGTGTGTGTAAGTTTGTCTGTCTGTCACGAAATTCGTAGAACATGTTGCAGCCAACCTCCTGAGCCCAAATTTTGCACAGCGCCTGCTACCAACATGAGACTCTACTACACAAAAGCACGAGTCGATCCGTTGTGTGGATCCCTCAAAAAACGCGCGTCAACCGGATCCACTTGGCTTTTGGCCAGTAAAATTGAGTCTGTAGCGCAACTTTTTGCAAATTCAAGGATACGTTTGACAAGTTAATGTGCAAGCCATGGTCTTTAGCCTAAAAAATTGAACTAAAGTTTATTACTTTGCGAAAACGGCGCCAAAAAGAATTGGTTGCGTAAATGTTCAATTTGCCAAGATTCTACCCGATCGTTTGAGAAGATTTTTGCACAGATATGTAGCCCTCGGCGATTATGGCATCTTATCGCGAATATCAAGCCATGAAAAGTCCAAAAACCGATTCAAATTTGCATTTGTTCTCTAGAGAAAAGTTTCGTTCATGCGAAATTACCGATCTCATATGGAAAAGCTTTTGGAATGATTAGTTGTTCACAAATCATTTGTGATAGTCCGCATAGCGCGGTGAGTTCCAATGTCATTATTGTGCGAGAATGAGTAAGTCATATAGATAGTAGGGCCAGTGCGAGCCTCTGCGAAGCAGAGGTCAAGTACTGGTGTTATATAAATCGCGCAAGAATACATAGATTCCTGCATTCTAGGTGTACCTGCTAATTGCTACCTGTACCTACCTACTCGTACCTAACCTATGCCTGCACGGCCCTCAAATGATCTCTTCAGTGAACTTCAAGTAAGCATAGATGATAAAGTGAGCGTCTCATTTGTGTTTATCCTGTTCTTCATATTTTCATAATTTGTGCATCTTTCGCTTATTTGCACTTTTTGCACCTTTTTCTATCACGGCACTTTAACGTGGAGCACTAAACTCCAACTTTAACATGCAAGCGCTGAACTTTGTTTATGCACGCACAACCTATAAATCTTTCTGCCATTCCCATTTGTTATGTCAATCGAGAGAAATCCTGCAGCATGAGTTGGGCTTGATGAATCGCGCTTGTTTGAACTTCGGTATAGTTCTTTCAAAAGCATCTATGCTGAAAATGCTCAGAATGAGGAAAATTCTCCTGTTCCAGCTTCTACAATCAGAAATCGCCCGTAATGGCCTACAAGAAGAGGTCAAGGACCGAGAAAAAGCAGCATTTGAGATGATATTTAGTATAATCAAAAATCAAATATCAACTATTCCGCAGGTAATTTCTTCTCCCTTTACTCTTTTTTGTTCCCTTATGGTATCTTCAATCTCAGACTTGGATTTCCGACACGTTCGTCAACAAAAAGATGTGACACTAGACCGATTCGACCACTTGTTGAAAGGCGATGATGCGAATGCTGATAAAAGGTCATGATCAAAAAGCCGGAATCCGCACGTTTTTGCTGTTGCGACTGGAAAAGCTGCACAACTTGCAGCTGCTCAGGAACGGACTTTGTCTTCGCATTTCGTGACGTAACTTCATGTGCCCTAGATTGCGCATGTGCCTTTACGAACGTAGCTGGAGAGCATGAAACAAAATCAAAAGTGAGATAATCAATTCATCACCACATCCTTGATCTCCACTTTCTATATGTGTAGCAGCTCTATTTCATTTGGATAACGAAGAAGTATTTTGATTTAGTGCTGATCTTGTTGACTTACTTTCAGAAGGCTATGATTCGAGTTTCCGATCAGCTATTCTAATTCTATTCGGAAATTGTACAAAATCAAGGTCCCACCCCGGAGAAATCCGTCATCGAGGTATGCTTTGACTCATAAGCCCCCTTTCCTTCATGAAATGTTGGAGTAGTTCTTTACTTTATATCTTTTTCAGATCGTGAGAAAAGTGTGGCATTTTGGGCGTGAGAATGCGGAGGACTTGCCAAAATTGTCGCTAGTTGACGACTGAGTGGAAAGTGGTACGGAAACACACGCTGGTGCCAAGGGAATTCAACTCAACTCGGATCGAGCTGTAAGTAACGCTTGGGGATGCGGAAAGATTTGTATAAAAAGCCCAGCGCAATTTTTGATTGTTTGACGCTGCAAAAATAGTAGGAGGTCTGTCGCCTCGATGAATTTTGAGACTGTGCGTGATTCACATCAACTTCTCATACTTTGGGAATTTTTTTGATAATTCTTCCCTTCACCTTTTTTGACATTTCCTTTCGTTTCTGGCTCTGCCGACTTCATCTTTAGAGGTGAGACACAGAGGTTGCTTGTTTTGAGATTCATTTCTAAGGCTTCATCATGTCTTTGTTTTGGTGACTGTAAGCTGTAAGCTCCAGCTGTAACCTGGAGCTAGTTATTGCTGGAGCGCATTCCTTGTTTCTCGAGATCCCGTGTAAGGTGATCATATGGGATTGTCTTCCTGGACAAGACTGGCCGAGTGTACAGTTCAAGTTTTGTGCAGTTGAGTTGAAGACAAGCTCATTCCTTGCAACATTTCCAAGGCCCAGCTCAGAAGCTCCATACTATACGAATTACGGTGATTTTGATAGAAGTTACTCAAGGCAGGCTAGAAATAGATAGTAATTAGTACCAAACCAAATGTTTCGACACTTGGACAAGATCGGCCGAGTGTACAAATCGAACCTTTTGATTCAAACCTCATTGCAGCGTTTTTATCCGGCCTTCAGCAGTTTCTTTTGCCTTTTATATCTGCTTTACGTCATTTTCCCTTCTCTGATCTTGCTTAAACAACCTGCACTATTTACGATGCAGATGCTCAAACCTTCACTTTTGACCTCCTTTTTCTAGACTATTGAAGGTATAATTGTATTTTAACGAAAAATCTTTCGGCCACCCTTGACTATGTAGTGATCACACTAGCCGAGAAATCGCGCATCATTCTCCTAGTTGGTTATCAGGCTGGAGAGTAAGATTGTGATGGTAGAGTCGTATCGATCAAGATGCACACTAACAAAGCAATAAGATGCCTGGCAGAAAATCTCTGAAGATATCTCAACAAATTTCAAGTTTATTTGAATGCAATTCAGTTGCGAAATCACTTTAATAATAAGAGGAAGGAGGCGATGTGAATTGATAGTTTAGAAAAAAGGTATTGTTCTCTGTTAGCATATCTTGCGAGTCTGATGTCTGTAGTTGTTACGATCTAGGTTGAAAACAGGGGGCAGTTTGCCACACGAAGAAGAACAAGTAATAAATAGTGAAGTCTGATGAAGATGTCAAGTTGTACAATTATTTTGTTTCCAAAATCGCCCATGAGGAACTAAAAAATAGCGACAATTTACAGATAGGAGAAGGGTATGTTTCAACGTTGATTTTTTTTGTCTTATGCCCAAACTTATTGTAAGTCGCTCAGTGCACCAGGTGGAAATGTCAGAGATGAGTAGGTGGAGGCAAAAGGGATAGAAATGCAGTGATTGTGCGCACATGTTCTCAAAGCCAGCTCACGAATACGTTTGACTCATATAAGCATTTAGTTACCCTCGATATCATCCCATATGTCTTCCCTCAACATGACGTGGATTACGTGGCTTGATGAGGCGCCGCCTCGCCTCGGGCTTGCGCCACGTTGCGTGCGCATTTTCGGCGTGATGTGGCAACAAGAAGAACGTGGAAAAGCCTGCGCCACGTTGTGTTGAGCGCCACGTCGCGCCAAATGATGCGCTCGCAACGTGGCGCGAGCCCAAGGCGAGGCGGCGCCTCATCAAGCCACGTAATCCACGTCATGTTGAGGGAAGACATATGGGATGATATCGAGGGTAAAGTAGGATTTCAACGATCGGGCATCCTCGAAGATGAAGAGGACTCAGTCCTTGCAACGTTTCCATGGCTCAGCACAGAAGCTCGATACGAAACGAATTATGGTGATTTTGATAGAAGTCACTTAAGGCAGGTTAGAAATAGTATATAGTACCAAACCAAATGTTTCGACACTTGGACAAGATTGCCGATGTACGAGTCGAATAATGTAAACTCTCAACGCTAATGAAAACCATGATGAAAGCTCACGGGCGCAAACAACGTTAGGCCTTGCGCCTCCCCCAGGTCAAAAAGCCGTCAGCGCACTCGCTTCCTTCTCTGCAGACTTTAGTAAGTATGTACTTCAGTACTTGCAAAGTGCTAAAGAATCATGACGCTGATCTGATTGTAACCCAAGAAGCGATTCTAATGTTGATCGCAGCTTGGTGCCCGAGTAAAATGTTGATCGCAGCTTGGTGCCCGAGTAATTCAATCGTGAAGTCAGTCTTTCACGAGATTACTAATACATGATTTGTCGTGTGTTATCTCCCCTTTTTTCGACCTCTATTTGGAATCTCTATTGCAAATCTATAAACTTTGCTAATCTTTCTTTGTGCTTGATTTGAGAAAAGTGGAGTTTGTCAGCGGGCTTTCTTTTTTTCGTTTTTTATTGTCACCAGTAAACTCAGTTTTCAGAAAGACAAAGGAACGTATCCTTTATGCGGTTAAATTTTCGCCATTCATCTCTAAATCATTCGTTGATAAGGTCGCGTTTCCCCCTAAACTTTTTTCTTCGGTAAACGATGATCAAGAATCACGGACGATGTTGAAGAGAACGCGAGTACTCAACATCGTTTCTCGTGCGCTGTATGACAAGTACCTCTACGGGTACTCGTCGGAATAAGGTATCTGTCCCCAAATTCTCACCAGGTGGTGCTCAGTGATACCGCTGGATGCAATCAGGAAACTGTGTCCAACATTGTCAGCAACTTCGTAAACGCATTGAACCACCCCCGATTGCAACAGTACATCGTTTCGAACCTAAAGATCCAGTTTGGTGTCGCAGATTGCGGATGAATTTACCAGAGGGGGGCGTTTCGTTATTGAGCAACCGTTTTGCAGTTTCAGCCCTGAGAAAAACAACAATGATCACACTTAGACGTAAACGGATGTGTCGACAAAACGCTAGTCCTTGAACGTGCGCCCTCTGTTGATGTATTTCAATACATAATTCATAAAGGTTATACGTGTTTGAATGTCTGCTTGATTGCCAACGCCATGGGTTTCATCCGTTGAGGCAACGCCGGTTTTGCGGTGGTTTTGCGGTGTTGGTACACGATTTGTACGCGTGGAGTCAGTCCTAATCCGGTGGGATATTCAGGGAGGGAAGGGCGGTGAGGATACACTCTTTGGGGAACAGTGGTTATGCGAATAGGCGCGGGACCATGACTCCATATAGGCCAAGCAGTGTGCGCGGGGGTCAAAGCAAGACTGTGTTCAACTGGAACATTGCAGGTTCCGATCCACAGTAGAGATGACGATTGGAAGATGGAGGGAACGCTCTTGTATTCTTTATGATCTATGCGTTGATCCTGACAAAGCCGTAAAAGTCATCATAGCGTGTGCGATATCGGATAAGATATCAATGATTCTGAACGCAACGGGCAGGCGACTGTTGGGGAGGCGGAGGGAACGAATGCCTCATCCGATCCCCCCCCCCCCCCTCCCCCGGAGAGAATCCGAGAAACTACATGATGGATATCTGTGAATGAAGGCACAAAAAGGCGCTTTCCGATTACTTCTGCTTGCTGTTCTTTGCAAAATCAAGAATAGTTACGTCCATTTTGTCAAGATGCAGGCTAAAGCGACGTTTACCAGTTAGGTAGGACCGTCATATTTCGTGCCTTTGTTAGAAACAAAAACAGTCATTCATTCTATTCATTCAAATTCATTCTATTAGGTCATTCCATAAGTTCGTAGCGTTTTCATAAATCGACAAAATCATCAATTTTTAGAGAAAATCAGCCAATAATGTTTTCAAAGTCAACATAGCGCAGGACCTTTTACCACATTCCTGATTGCTTTTCACCCCTCAATTGTTCAAATGGCTGCTCGCCGGGTCCCAAGAAAGTCATCTAAGCAGCGCCCAAATTACTCACTGAAATTGAAACATGCTCCATTTATAAGGTTTGCGGGAGAGAAGAACAAATAATAATTTGGTAGAGTGAGGTTTATGGAGTACTTTGAGTAGTACTGAAGTGCCTCCTAGTCAGTTTAGCAGGACAGTTTTGGCGATGTTTGCCGCGTGAGGTCATGTTTCGTTATGCAGAAAATCTCACTGAATCTGTCTTTTTGGCTTTTCTGCGGTATGACCTCATCAAAACATTGCAGTTGGCTTGCACACGATAGTGTCGACCTTCGTCACCACCGTCTTCTTCTTGTCTAGCAGTCTGCAGTGCAGGACGTCTTGCTCATCTCCCAAAAAACCTTGTTAAGGGACACTCTGCTCAGCCTTTCGTCACGATGTTTCAGTGAGAGTCGCTTGCGACAGCGAGTGCTTACAGGTGCGTATAGGGGACATCAGCTAGAATTTATTCGAACAGAGGTTCCATTATTTTGTCTCTCTCCTCCTCCTTACGTATGGATGAAATCCATTTTGATTGTGTGTGCTTGTAGATGGCAGCCCACGACCCAAACAAGCGACGGTCTCAAGAAGCTGTTGACAACCGTTAAGAGGACAGCCGAACAAGCACTTGATCAAGCCGATGCGGCTGGAGGAGCTGAAACCGACGACATCCTTATGCGAAAGATGAAGCTACGCTTATTGTTGAGTACAAAAGGTGTGTGGCATGTGGTATCTGCTATCGAAATGAGCGTATAGAGATGTATCCGAATTACAGTGACTAGATCTCTACCCTGCATACAGTGTTGAAGTCTAACAAACTGACAGCTGAGCCAGCTCTGGCGTCGCTGCGGGATAAATAAGAAGCCGAGAAGAAGGCCCATCAGGTTGGCAGGAAAATCAGAAAATTTTGATTCACATCGAGATTCAATAAAAATGTTCAGGAAATCAGCGAAACATGCAACGTGAGCTGAAACAGCTCAAAGAGGATGCGGCTATTTTTGCCAGCGATCATGCTATGTTAGCTGATTGTGAAGAACTACAAGCTCAGGTAAGGTTGAATTAAGTTGCCTTTTTCGCTTTATTTGCTTTTTTTTCTCCCTTTCGCGCTTATAATCTCTTTAAATTAGCCAGTATCCGAGCACGAATTCCTTGAAAACTTATTGACCATTTTCGCATAATCTCCAGAATGTACATCTTTGTCCAAAGTTTTTTTTCGTAGTATCCGCTTTGCGTAAATAAATGAAATGAAATCAATGGGGAGATTTCATGGTCTAGTTTAGGTTTGGCTGCTTTTTCAACGCCGCGTTGTGCGCTACCCGACCCAACAACAGTCGAGGGGCTAACGAGGAGGACTCGCAGGGATTACCTTTAGGTATGCATGTAGTTGATATTCGCTCGTTATTCGTTTTCTATTGTTTTTTTGCAATTTGTAAGAAAAGTGTTGTTAATAGGTGTTCAGAGGCGATGGCGGGTTCTCCCATTTTAATTCCTCTCCTCTCCGACGGGTTACTCTTTCAAATGCGTTGGTGAATATGGAAAACAGGGGGTTTCTCATGCAAGCTTCCTTATTCTCTGATTGAAAACAGCCTTCTACTTGATTATTTAGACGACAAATGGCAGCGTAAGTCGATTTGATGTATAACTCACTTTTTGTGTTCTTCCATTGGTCAGTCATTGTTTCTACAAAGAAGTTGACTTTTTTCTCTTCCTTTGAAGCAATAGTGTTTTACGTTCAATCACATCACGTTTGTTTGAAAGTACACATTCGGCGTGTAGCTCTACAGGCATGCGCCCACATGCAATCTTTGTCAATTACATAGTCTTTTTTGCGTGCAGATACGCACCCGCGAGGGCCTTGCCTCATATTTCCGCTCGATGCCAATTTGATTGGCCAAGCCATGCGCATGTGAACATGGCGCAATTTGCGTAGCGATCGCGCATTGAATAAGATAGTATGCGAGTGACACAGGCTATATATGTAGCACTTTTTGACATCAAATATTGTTAGGGTTCCCAGAAGTGTCTAATTACCTCTTACGTAAAAACTGTTAGAGTTGCTAAAGACGGATTTTTTCCAGGATGCCAGAGCGAAGCAGTCTTTGCTGTAGACCCGCCATATTCGAACTTGCGCTTGACGAGCTTCGAATGCAACTGCTTACCTCGACTGTTTGCTGATGTGGAGTTGGTTGTACTGCCTCTATGCGTCACTTGCGTCACTCGTTTTTCTGGCTGTTCTTCACCTGTAACTCCTTCATACTAGTCCGCGTGTGGGCATGGGTAGGCCTCCGCGCACTAAGTACACTTTGATCGACTAAAGCTGATCGTGCAAATGTCAGTTATTATTTCGGCCATTTCATTATGCTGATGGTGTGCTCTTGTATCCGTGTCTATGGTGAATTCCACGCATATTACATATGCGAATGTGCCGATTACCAAGATTCTGTAGTAATCAGCGCTCTCTCCTCCCATATCGTATGCAAATATGACTGCGGTTGTTTTTGATTGGTTTTCTATTTGTGGACCGCTTAGGGATACGTGATAACCATATCGCATGCTCCTTATCGTCGTCGTCGTGATTTTTGTCAGGCAGTGTTAATGTCTTGGATTGCTGAGCTTCATTATTGTGATACGTATATGTCGTTGTCCCAGTAATCCTTCGATCCAGTTGCATAATAGGAGGAATTGCAGAGATTTTCATTTCAATTTTGCAGAGGAAAAGTATTCTTGAATTTGTTTGAATTGATCAAGACAGTTAGGTGTCTGTAAACACACTACCACACTTACATAAGTTATTACTTCCATTATAATTGTTTTCATTGAATTGTGATAGTCTGTCCTGTTTATCCAAATTGATCTCCATTTGTATAAATCATATATCAGCAGTTCTATTGTAAGTAACATTATTATATGATATTGTAAGTAGAGGTAATAAGGTAGGTGTATGTGAAGAGGCGCGATTCTTATTGCCAGATGGGCAGGATATAGCACATATCTAGTGTTTTATGAAGTTCTAGGATTACATGAAACTTCAAAAGCGATAGATTGAATGATTGCGCGGATTATTCGACCTAATTATTTTGTGATCCATTCCAAACAAAGTTGTTGAAGGTCAAAAAATCATGGAAGTGAAGTTGATAGCAATTTCGTAAATATTCCGTTCAGTTTAGCTAAAGTCGTCATACTTATCAAGTGGTTGCATCAAAGGACTAGTGAGCCTGTGGACTTTGTCTGGCACTTTTTGAACACTCCCATAGCACGAAAGTGGAGTTCTAATTTGGTGACAGCCACAAAAATCGAGCCTCTTGACCGTCCCCCGAGAACAATTGGGGGGGGGGGGGAGTATATAGAGTTATTTTAGTGGATCCACCGCTTAGAGCGAAGAGGCACCATGCCGTTGACGTGTATGAACACGTAGGATGTAAGCAAGGATTACTAATGGCGGCAGAATGGCAGTGGTGCTAGGGTGCTGTGTAGCCTAGTGGTCTAGTAATAGGCACTTCGCGCAGAGCAACGGAAGTTCAACTCCCGACCTAGTCGGAGTGTTTTGCGATGAAGCATGTGGCGGCTCCTCAACAACTATAGCAGCTCCGCAAGTAGCAGAACGAAACTCCGAGTTTCAGAAACGAAACTCGGAGTTAACTCTGAGTTTCAAAACGAAACTCGGAGTTAACTCTGAGTTTCAAAACGAAACTTGGAGTTAACTCTGAGTTAGCGCGCAGCTGTAAACTCGGAGTTTCTGCCAGATTATTACCGGCCCAACTTTTTGAAGTTTTCGTTACTTTTAGGTGTTGAACGTAATCAAAAAGCCGCAGTTTTTCTTAGATAAATAATTATTACGGATTGATAAAAGTGTCCCATGTAATCTAAAATAGGTACAATGCAGCCAAAGGTTTGCTCTACATAATAGTACTAGCGCTATCAAAAATGTCAGGTCAGGATAGAAGTTTTCGAAATTCAGGAAAAATTTGGCGTTGTTGCTAAGCAAAAAAGTCAAGAAACCCTTGGCGATAACATTGCAAAGACAGGGTAGATCAGAGAACAAATAAAGCTGTAAGAAAAGCAATGAAAATCTGAATCAAATGGTACCTGAATCGCTTATGGATGGTGTTCTGTGAGTTTTAATGAGCGACGAAAAAACGGCAGAACCTTCGGGAAACCAAATATTTTGTAGTGTGTTGCTGCTGGACATTGTACATTTACACCAAGTTTAGCACCACAACAGGTATTTTTGCACCGTTTGTGGATAACTTTGCTACTGAATGACTTTGCGCCTGAGCAAAATTGTGTTTGAGCAGGTTCGCGTAGTGACTTGTTGGGTGTGGAGGTACGTTCTTGCATTTTAACGCGCAGTTACGGTGCTCCCTTCGGTTTTCGCACCTCACAACTTCCAGCTTGACATTTTTCCGTGCGTTAAGCCTTGAGCGAGCTTTTGGCGAGTTACATTGTGGACGAGAAGGTCCTGTGTTGTTCATTAAAATCGCTCAAGAGCCAGTCGAAACAGAAATTGATGGTTTTTGTTGCTTTAACTAAAAAAATCTTCGCATGGACAGGTTTTCAGTAGTTTAAAAAATACCACATACTAACAAGTAAATCTCACTAGACGGGAATGATTGCCTGTAAAATCTCAATCCACGCGAAATCAAGTGGACGTCGCGCTGGCAGTAGAGCAGTCGTGGAAAAAACATCAGAAATGCAGATTTGGTTACGATCGCTTGATTTTTTGTAATCTGCAAATCACCATCAAAGTACCCGTAATGATATGAGCAGCTAGTGCAACATTACTAATCTCAAAATCTCCCTGTAACAAACCATAACCACCTCGTTTCTGCATTACTGCTAAACTCTGGCACTCATGTTTTATTGTAGTCAGTCAATAAACGTTAATCTAGGCCCAAGTTTTGATAATGCGAGAACCGCAACTCTGTGTAGAAAGTAATTGTGCGTTTGTTTCTTCATAACTTTCTAGCTTTCGCGGATCTTTGGTTGCCATATAGTAGGGGCTTTAACTTGGATGTAGAATAATAGATTGGATCACCCCCTTTACTAATATAGGATAGCGGTAAGAGTTTCCGAATGTTTTGCGTCAAAAGCATGAACTGCTCAACGAGAGTTGTTCACAGTAAGATTGATATGGCAGACTATTTGGCCTTACAGGGTGTCCCATAAACGGGTCGCGAAATTTTTGAAAGTTACTTATATGAGTCATAAAAATGTGCAAAAGACTTATTTATACTTGTAAGTATTTAAAATAATTTTTTAAAAACTCTTGAAAATTCAACTTAGCTTTATAAAAAAATTTTTTTCGGGGGCGTGGCTGATGCCACGCCCCCTTTTTCTGAAATTTTGGGGTCATGGACCCACGAAAATTTTGAGAAGCGTACCAAATTTTTTTTCTGTGTGCGTGGCTAACGCCACGCACCTTCATCAGAAAAATTTTTTTGTCGCGCCTCCCCCCCCCCCCCCCCGAGCCGAAATCCTGGGTACGCCACTGGTATACACTGATCGTTTATATACCTCTTTCCAAAAGGACTTTTGCCTACCTTCGAGTGCTATTTTGCAGAGCTGGTTTCAGCTTAGATTCAAAGTGTGGAGCAAATCACCGATCTCTTCATTACTGTAGAATTACGACAGAAATTGTTAACTTACAGCGTCTTTGTGAGTTAGTCTTGTTGCGAGTGAAGTTTCCAGAAATTCTGGAAAGAGTATTAGTTCACGCATGCTGATTCCGTTACTCAATTTTTTACATGCTTATATGTACAAGTTTTTAGATGGTGTAATCAATCACAATTTTGGAAACATTGTTAAAGCACTTAGCTGCCTGGCATAACTGAACGAAGCATTGCTACAAAATGCAAAGTTCATCTTTAGTTTCACCGGCTACCCTACTGTAAGAGTTTTCATTTGTTCAATTTGTTTTCTGAAGCGAAATGCTGCCTTCAATGTCTCAAGACCATTCTTGAAGTTCCTATAGTAATCCTACAGTAATGAAGAATAATGCATAATTTGCTCCATACTGCAAATATAAGTTGAAGCCAGCACTACAAGATGGTCTTGGTGCTAGGAAAAAGACGCTATGGAAGACATCAGCGATCAAACAGCGTATACAACTTTTGGGACACCCCTGTAATTTATTCAGATTTGAGCTTTTTAATTCACCGTAATTTCTATCTTTAAGTTACAAGCATATACCGTGGCAGTTGTTTTCTCGATAAATGTCAAAAATCTGATCATACTATCTAAACCTCTTACAACATGTTAAAAGTTATATCAAATCCCGCGGGTGCGGATTTTGAAATTTGAAATGACAGCTGAATTCGATAAACGACATCGTGCTAAAAGTCATCGTTATTACCAATCCTCCAGTATCGAGGGGTAAGAAAGTCATCCCCAAATATATTGCTTCAAATCCGCGAAAGCTGTTGGGACAAGAAGGTTATCAAAAATTAGACGTTCGATGCATTTAAATAGGTTTATTTTTCTGTATTAATGCAGAATTTATCTCACATTCCAATGGCTATTTTGGAGTGGTTCGTTGACACGATTGGAAGTGAATCTAGGATGAATGATACTTTTACAGCCGGATGGAGAGGAAGGGGGAGGGGTGAGGGAGCGGAATGGAAGCGCTAGTGTTGAGGCCGAAAGAGCTGTGGATTTGATTGCGATCCTTAGCTACATTCGACCGGTTGTTCCTGATTAGTAGAACCTTTGGAATTTCATTTTTCGTATGGTGGAATGATGAATGTTTATTCATAAGGTGTGTTGTAGAAGTATTGATAGCTAATAGATAGAGCAAAGGTTTTGCATCACAATATCAAACCTTTCCAATCAATTTTTGAAGTTGTGAGTTTCATATCTCCAAAAATCGTTAAACAACAACAGATGGCAAGTCAGGCATTACTGAATGCCTAACATTGTCGTTCCGTCATTTTTCTATAAGTTAATTTTTCTCGTCGACGTACGCAAAAACTGAAGGAAAATTGCACAACCAAAAAAATTAAAAATCGAAAAATAGTTCATATGGTTGAAAATACTCCAGACTCCGCTTTGTTGTTACCCATATAGTAGTAGAAAAAAACAATAGGAATGAGGCTTCGCTGCTTACGAGGGAAAATGCGTCCGAAAGGGTTAACAAAGTGGTCTTCCAAGCCTCGCTGCAATGAAATCCGAATAGAGAAAACCACTCAAGATTGTAGAAGCGGCCAAGGATGAAGAGCTCAAATGTGGGATTCAGGATAGATAAAAATGTCGAAAAGCTGAAAAATCATAATGGGATGGATTTGTGACAATTCTAGATATATTAAAGCACACATTTGAACTTTTTACTTCAAAACGCTCACGTTGATGGGCGGAGCCACCTTGGCCGCTTTTACCTTCTGACCTTCTGAAGCGCTATTCTCAGCGAGATTTGGGCGATTACTTCGTTAAATGCTCCGCTCTTGATAGGTCAAAAAAATGTGCGCCAAGTCTGTTTCAAACTGATAATGTTAGAGCTTTTCAAAATTATCGTGTGTGTGAGCAGATGTGCATCTACAGGACATATCTCAAACATCTGACAAACGTGAATGGCAAAGAAACATTGTTCATTTTCTGCGTCTTTTTTCCAAAGCTTACGTAAGCTCGGAAGCTTGTTCAGGTTTCTGTTTCATTTCTTTTGCCATGTGCCAGTCTCGTTGTCGAGATGATTTATTTCAATCGGCGAAGTACACTTTCGATTTGCAACGATAATCTTGTGCAATGACAATATCGCGTTCTTCCGTTCGGGATTCGTTCCAGTAAGCTGAGATCGTTATCGAAAAATCCTGGCAATCGCGTCTTCAGTCTTTTAAAATTAGAGCTCGCAGTCCCAAAGTTGAATACTGCAGGTTTTGTGCGTTCCCTTCGAAATTCCGAGTGTGCCGCGAAGATATGGATAACTATCCTTTTCACAAAATTTTGGATGAATCTACAGTCTGTTGAGTTTATGTCCATATTGTTGTTATTGTTTGGTCCTAATCAGTTGGATTTTATCGTTTCATGTCTTCATTTTCCCCTCCCAGCATTTGCAAGCATATACAGAGCATTCGACGCTAAGCATTGAAGGTCAATTTGTAAAATTTCGCCCGCTTTTCATTGAGCATATGGCTTCTTGTTTGGCCCTGTTTCATTTCCAGCATTCCTATGAGGCAAATGAGGACGTAATTTCAGGGTTCCATACCAACTTTGTTGACGAAGAACACAAGAACTTTCTTATTATTTTACCTCATTCGATTTCGTATTGGGAAAGCAATGAGTGTATTGCTTGTCAACTCATCACATATATAGATCATTTCAGTGCAGTTTTGATGGCACACGTCATAGGCTTAAATCGACTTGGCATGAAAACGCGGAGGCAGTTCAAGACCAAATGTCGTACAATAAGCATGATTGGCAGTTAAAGCTTTCCTGAACAAACTTTCAGATCAAAGCAAGATGCTTATGAATAGTTTTATAGCACTACTATTTCTATCCCTAATTGCAATAATGACACTTCTTTGTCACAATGAAGTAAAGGATGTTCAGGTATCATATTGAACAGTCAGTTTTTGAAGTAGATCAAGTGGGGATACTGCTGATTTAAGACAACATCCTGCAATTTTTGATTAGGTCACACCTCTTATCGTCGTTTGGACCAAGTTCTGGCAAATTTCTCTAAAGCAGAGACTTATGTCCGCTGCAAAAAATTGCAGTTATCGATGCGAACTCATCAATAGGAAGGAGCACAAGCTGTAGTCAGATCATTTGCATACTTACCATTGCTTGCGATTGCAAACTCCATCAGCAATTCAGCGACCGAGATGCATCCGCCTATATCTTTCACGGACCTGATATGGACTTGGAAGACTTGCCGGCACAAACTTCCCCTAACCTCCATATTCTCTTTTTAATGGAGTCATCACTTATAAGCAGACCTCGCTGGCCTCAGATGTACCGAGTATGTTTATAACAATCTTTGTCATTGTGAGAAATCAAAGAAAATTGCATTCAATGCGTTTGAAAAGTTTGCGCCCCTGCGCGCTTCGACTTTTGAGATAAAATGCAAACAACCCCGTTGTTATCTCGCTGAATGCAGGGGCTCGCATTCTTGGCCAGGGAACTGTGCATGCGGCCGCTTTGGAATGTGAGAAGTTTTCTTATTCAACGAGCATTTCAAGGTTCCTCACGACTACTTCAATGCTACCATGACATATAGAAGAGATTCACGGTATCATGTTCCGTACGGTCGGTTCGAGCCGCGATCAGCAAGAGATCCCACTGATAGATTTTACACCGAAAAACAGGTATGAAGCTGTTTTGACCGTGTCTATGCCAGCATTGCCAAAAGTTGACACACTCCTGAGTTTTATGATCGTACGAGACTTGTTGGTTAACTTTGCTTTTCAAGCTACGGATGTTGTCTTCTTCTTGTCTTCCAAACTATACGCGTGTTTGCTTCACTGGTACGCTCGTAACAAAAGCTTAAACAGAATCAAATTGGGCCCTCTTGTTTATAATGCCATTGTACGAGTATTTGACGAATCTCTAAAGTTTCCTTGCTTCGTTGTGCACTTATAAGCTAGATCTATCTAAAAAATCTACTGTTCCTGCCAATTTTAGCTTCATCAAGCAATCAAAAGAAAAACCAAAGGATCTCTGCTATTCATCTCAAGATGTAAGACACCTTCAAATCGTGAAAACATAATCAGGTTTTTCTTATAACTATATAAGAAAAAATATTATTCAGATATATTCAGGGAACTGGGGAAGTTCACAGACATTACTGCTAGAGGCAAATGCGAAAAACTTCTCACAACGAATAACTACACAGGAAGTGCATTTTGCAAGTCAGACTGCAGCGACGATGCCTTGATAGGTCCACTTTGCAGCTTAGAGAGCACGTCAGAATTATATGGTCACAACTTTGGAAAATTGCAGCTACGCATCGCTTCTACATTGCTTTCGAAAATAGCGTTTGCAAAGATTATATCACGGAAAAGTTTTTCGATCGGATTTCTCATCTCCTTGTTCCTGTCGTACTGAAAAGACACATTTATGAAGGTGAATAACAGAAAACGAAGTAGAATTTACTTTGAAAAATATTTAGGCGCGGATATCCCCAGCGACTCCTTCATAGCCGCGGATGACTTCGGATCCCTTGAGGATTTGGGATTGTACTTAAATTTCCTGCGTCAGAATGATACTGCTTACCTCAGGTTAGTTCGCTTCAGCAGGGAACCTCCAGATCACTTCAAGACTACATCAACTGAATTAATCCATCCAGTAATTAAAGATCTAACAAGTAATGCATGTTTATTCAAAATGGTCTTTTTAGATGGGATGTAATCCATATTGTAGGACATAAAATGCTGATCAAATCTGCCATCCTTATCCGAAGAACGCTTATGAACGAGAGTTATGAGCGTTTATTGGAGCAAAGGCTGAATGTGCAAGTAGGACAAAAGTCGTTATACTTTTTCTAGCTCTTCGATGGAGCAGTGATAATCATCCCGACAATTTAATCGGAAAATACTTCAAAATAAAAATTATACCACACTTGTTTGCATTATTTGAGGGCTAGTAAGATTTCAACTCATTTTGTCCAAAATGCCCATTCAATTTTTGGCTCTAAAACGCTCATAATTGCTCGTCTGTAAACGTTCTGCAGATGAGGAAGGCAGGTTTGGAATCAGTGTTTTATGCCCTTTAATACAGTATATATCTCATCTAGAAAGGCCACTTCGACTGAACAATCTTCCCTTGTAAGTAATGTCCAGATCTGCCCTGGGGTTTTGAAGCACTGATGGTGATCAAATCGTGCTGTCTCTAAAAGTCTGCACATATTTATTTGTATTTTTGTACATTGCTATTTAACACAACTGCTTGCTTTATGATGATCTGAAGGTTGGCGGCCACCCCTCCCCTCTCCGGCAGCACCTCGATACAAGGACACAACACATTATAAATTAGTTCAGCTTTCTCGAAAATCAAGTTCGAAAAATTTGAACAAACGCTCAAGTTGATTCTAATCGAAAGAAATTCGAAATTAAGTTCACTGTCACTGATCAGGGACGTATTCGAGGTGCACAGCTATTTACTTTGGCTCACTTCGCCCTCGGTCATGCTTATGTCCGCGGAGCGCGGCAAACTCATCGGACTTGAATCCTTTTTGCCTCTAAACTATAATTCATAGATTCTTTCTTGCAAGTCGACTATAGTTCATCTTCTCCTTTCTTCTAATGATAGGCTGTTTATTGCTTATTCACCTACATCTCGTTTTCTTCAAACAAAACCTAACTAATACTGATACGGACACTGATATCTGCATCGTGGATGCTGTGAAGGTGTTCATTGATGCAAAGTCATCTAAAATATAGATATAAGGAGCATAAAAACCACAATGTATCCTTTGTTTCAATAGAATTGGCGCTCGAAGGCAGGGTTTTAAGGCCTGATCGAGGCTAGAGAATGATAAGAGTACGCTCGCGGAGAGATGTTGACTGCGTCACGGGCGCAACCGGTCGCCTCCAGCTGCCAATTCCATTGTATCAAAGGGTAGGCGGCTCGAATAGTGAACTATCAGTTATATTAATGAAGTAACAAGAAGAAAGTAGTTGTAAAAGTTTCAAATGTAACACGAGGTGATAATGATACTTTGAGAGTTCACTCTTAGGGCCGCATGCACTAACATCCCCGCGGGGAGGGGATCGCAGCTCAAATGAAAGCTTTATATTTCGAAACACCAGATACTTGGATTTCACTTTGTGTACCTATCCGTAAGTATTCCTACTACCCTTCACTATGAACATGTTGAAGAGGAGCGAGAAGCTGTACGAACCGCATTTTCCAGCTTTTTTATGATCCCTGATGATCCCCGGCGCTTTTCTTCAAAGTCATTTTTCTTTCTCCGGTTAACGAAAAATCTCCAAAATCGTGCAGATTATCCAACCCGACAGTGCTAAGCATGTTCGTGATAAGAACAAATGATGTCTTGAAGTCATGAAATTTTCGATGATCCACAGGTCGAAATTTGAGGTTTACCGAAGAATTCGACTTTTCAAAAACTCATTTATTCTCATCAGCAACATGCTTAGCACTGTTGTGTTAGATGTTTAGTACAGCTTTGGAAAGTTTCCGTTAACTTTGGAGAAAGAAAAATGACTTTAAAGAAAAGCGCCGGGGATCATCAGGGATCATACAAAAGCTGGAAAATGCGTTTCGTGCAGCTTCTCGCTCCTCTTCAGCATGTTCATAGTGAAGGGTAGTAGGAATACTTACGGATAGGTACACAACGTGAAATCCAGGTATCTGAAGTTTCGAAATATAAAGCTTTCTTTTAAGCTGCGATCCCCTCCCCGCGGGGATGTTAGTGCATGCGGCCCTTAAACTCACATATTCCTCTCCAGTTTGAAACTACATTAAACATACTAATCAACTATAACCGTTTTGAAAACTAATGCCCAAGCTAAATTCGCTAGAAGCACCATAGTCACATACTGAACTCAGTATAGCAAAAACGTAGCCGGAGATTAGAATCTATCAATCCAACCTAACAGCAGCTTCGATAGCCTGAATAAAATCCCTCGTTCATCTAACCAATAACTGTTGTGCTGCTAGATACCGCAGTTCGCGGCCATTATTGCAGGTGGTATGCGATAGTATGCACAATGCGTGGAGTATTCGCTAAGCACTGAAAAAACTGGGAACGCAAGAGCAGTGCACAGCGCAACCGCCATGTTTCTGCTCTGCGGAAAGAGTATACACAATTTTCTAGCCAAAACGACTATGCTTATGCAGCATTCTCCGACCACTTTCAAGTCTAAAGGCTTGGCAGGCCATCAATGAAAAAAATAAAGCGGCAAAAAAGCGTCGACCCACGAAAGCATGACAGTTTCAAAGAGCTTACAAAAAGGGTTAGGCCAGACTGCGCGACGTACGCGGCGTACGCAGCGTACGCCGCGTACTCTCCTATGATGAAATATACCGAGCGTACGCAGCGTACGTCATGTACGCCCGTACGCCGCGCACTCTGGCTCAACCCAAAGCAGTTGTGCAGCGGATTATGTAGAAACAACTATTTACACCTATTTCGTCGTAGTTCGATTGGAAACATCCACGTCAATCAACTGACCATTTTGACAGTCCTGAGTACAAATAGTAGACAAAAGTCAAGAAAAACTACGAAGGATGATTTTTTATGATAGTGAGAAAAAGAAGAAGATAAACTATAGTTGAGATGCAAGAAAGAACCTATAGACTATAGTTGAGATGCAAAAGAATCAAAGTCCGAGGACCTTGCCGCTCTCCGCGGACATAAGCATGACCGAGGGCGACGTGAGCAAAGTAAATAGCTGTGCGCCTCGAATACGTCTTGATTAGGACGCAAAAAAATGTCGCTGTACGCACTCACTTCTGAGCAGCACTATCCGAAATTCATTATTTAGCATTTTAATTGAAACAACAAACTCTCTTTCTGCTTGATCTAATTGAAATTGATTAATTACTTTCATTTCCTATAAGTTTGATGTATCAGTAATGAGTGTTACTTTCGCTGCAGGCCACGTAGATGCAAATTCATGGGGAGCAAAGAATGCTCTACAAAACAGCTACCAATTACAGCTATCCTTGTGAACTTTTGAAGCCAAAAGAAACATTTGATAACAAAAAACATTGTATGCACTTATTTTCAATTTGCAAATCGAGTAAAGAAGTTACTATAGTTTGAGAAATTGGCCTAAATGAGGCAAACATAACGCTAGTTCCACGCATATGGTTATATTCTGTAAATTTATCTCTGGAAGTAAATCCACGATCTTATCTCTGCATGTATAGTCACTGACAAATTATCCATTAGGCATAAAAACCCAGTAAGAGGCGACATTTTCGTGATTTTATCCAATTTCTGCGGGTACAACGATGGACTACTGGTTATTCTAAGATTCATCACTAACACTTCCCTTTCAAAGCGATTTTTTTGTTTTGGAATTCTCTTTTGCAAACTTGTATAGTCGAGGGCTCAGCCATTTTGCCTGCTTAAAGTACCCTTCACTCAGACAATGTCTTCAACGCACATTTCATCCTCTTACCAGCAACTTTTCATTGTTCAACCAAGAATGCCAAGAATTAGTGATTTACATAAGTGGCGTACCCGGTCAGCTCGGTTGTTGTTACTGTTCAAGCGTTTCTTTTCTCAAATACTTTCTCACCTTAATTCATACTTACTTCCTTGCTTCCTTCGCAGTTCTTTGCTTCCACCATGTTTTCGTTATTACGCTCAGACTTGCTCTATCAGTATCCCACCTTAAAGGCAGCGTCCAGGCGGATATGGAATTGTAGCGTACGGGGGCTCCCGCCCTCATAAAGCTCTTACCCAAGTGGCATTGCACCAGTTTACTTTTGAAGCGAGAAAACCGCCTCAGAAGTGGCGATCGGGGCGCCCCGGAGACCTGCCCGCACCTTCAACCTATAGCCAGAGTACGTATGTCGCACACTGTTGAGACCTAGGCTCCCACCACGACTCTGCGTCTTAATCTCAGCGGCAAGATTCCATATGCAAACTAATAACTTCTGGGGAAGGGGGGGGGGGGGGAGGGGGTGGAGTGAACTGTTTTCGACATTTTCGTAATCTGCAAACTGCATTTCGCAAACAGAGGAGGAATAAGCCAGGGTAAGTAAAAAATTTTGTTTTCCATTTTCTATCCAATCGGGGCCTTCTCGCCATGAGAGATCCATATCCGAGCTTCTCAGCGCATGAAAATGGCGAAAGCGAGCCTTTTTCGAAGCTGGTCCCCATTCAGGAAACACGCCGGAAGTCTCCCGCACCCTGCCTAATCACACATAATTTGCACTGATGCAGGCCTAGAAAGCTTCAGAGAAAACTTACTTTTGCCATTTTCATGTGCTGAAAAGCCCAGATATGATTCCTCATGGTAAGAAGGCTCCGAAAAGGTGAAAAAGTGGAAAGCGAAATTTTGCCGGGACACTGCCTTTGATGTTTGTAAGTCGATAAAGATATAGACCCGTAGTAAACCTTCTCTCAGCTCAGATGATCTGAGCTAGCCCTCTCGGAAGAAATCCGTAAGCTAATCTTACGACCCCCTTTGCTCCAGTGCTATAAGAATGCATGGTTAGCTGGCAGTCGAGCGGCTGGTCAGCTGCCGCAGTGATCTGCGCTGCCTGCCGTAAGCGGAGCCGTCCCCGTCGGCACGGCTTACGCAAAAAGTGTCTTCAAGGAGACGCAGAGAAAAATCTCATTAGTTGCTCGTAAGTAACTTACGGGACACGTCAGCTGGCTAATTCTGCGGACGACAGTGCACGAAATTCACAAATATGGCATACGGATGGGGATGATCAATGAACAGCTGATCTTAGCAAAAATGGGATCTCAAGTTTTTTTCTATATATGTCGTTGGGCTATGTCGATCAAATCTCCGGTTTTTTCGAAGAATGCTCAAAATGGAAATCAAACTCTCTCTTTATCTCTTGAAAATCAAGATTTTTTTCATGGATGTTGGTGCTAAGTTATTTTATCCGGTATATGTTCCTGTTTGCGCAGCAAAACCGTTAACGCCCGCCATCGATTTTTTTGATAGTGGCTGCTATTAAAGATTGCCACGACGATATAGCAAAAATGTCGGCACCTGCCGGCCGCGAACCCTGGTGCTGCAGTGTGTATTACGCGAGTTTCAGCTACTTGACCAAACTTGCACATTCTGGCGAGCTTTTTTTTCTTTGAGAACACGCAGTTTCTAACATGCCTACAAAACGATCCGCATCCGGCTCGATGGCTCGCTTGACACCGCGCTGAGGCGCCGTAAGGCCAACCTAGACCCGACTCAGAGGAGATGCACTGACGGGGGTTTACTACGGGCCATAGTCATAGAAAGATGAATAGTGTATTCGTGATCAGTTTGTTTCGTCTCACTTCATTAACAACTCAAAGGTTCTGGCCGAAAGATTGCTGGAAGACAAATTGAATATCGATCGACAACATAAAGTAATCACGAAAGTGACTCTGCCCAAAGTGCATGTCTGCAAAATTTGGTAGGGATTGCTAAATACAGACCTATAAACATGTCCACTTTATATATAAACGTAGTACACAAAATTGCGTAATAGACAAGCGGTTGTCCTGAACGCATGTCCGCGATGTTTGGATATCGGCTCAAAGAAATTTCTATTCATGGGTGAGCAAAGGCGAAAATATCATTCTTTCTCTGCCCTTTGCACACATAATAATCAATTATTTGTTCAACGTGCAAAATTAGTCAAAAAGGAGAAAAAGGGGGAGGGGGGAGGGCACGAGCTCAACTACTCAGACAGCCTGTTTACAACTTCGCTAAGCTTTGGTGGCAGCCAAAACCTTTGGCCTTTGGCCACTTCTCCCCTTCCCTTCTTTTGCGTTCCCTTGCTAGGTTCGTTTTGTTTTACAAGTTTTATCTTGATTACAGGTACTTCGAGTGGACAAAACATTTTCGAAAGCCGAACGTTTACCAAACCAAGGCATTCTGCAAGCTTTGCGAGGACATTCACAAGAGAACAAAATTATCTCTCAACGATATCGACAAGTACTTAGATGCACATGAGTGCGAGCAAAACGCGCATTATGCAAAATTTTGGCAGATGTATACAAAACCCTTGCGTTGGAGAAAACCACATCACGCGTAACTTCAAAACATTTACTGTCACCTTTACTATTACCTCTGCAGTTATGAAGTGCTTTCTTTGATGTACGGGCATTAGCAAATGTTATCAAGGTTTAGCTTTGGCCACCAAAATATCCAGTTGTTTGTGAACGTATCATAATAAATGCAGTTTCAAACATGATTTTCCAATTCCAAAAAGAATAGAAAGAAGCGTCATGCTCTTGCTTGCCTTACTCATAATATTCGATCAATTCAGGTTGTTCACCTTCTAACTTCATGTTACCTGCAAAGGTTGGGTAACATAACTCTATTAGAACAGAACAAATCTGGTATGGTAGAGCAGAACAAATCATGTTGTCCAACTTCTGCTCTCGAGTCATCCTGCAAAGATTGCCAATTCGGTAATAACGAATGAAATTTCAATAAATACTTGATGATTCAATCAAATGAGAAGGAATTCCCACCAGTATGAAAATCGTAGGAATTTTGACGAGTTTATACATCATGTATAAAAATACCATTCGAATTTTGTCAAAGAGCACAATGACTAATGATTAGTTAGTGTTCAGACAAATCTGAACGCATGAGTTTTGCGTGGGATCAGTGATGAGTTTCGTTACTATCTCTGAATTGATTTGGCTGACTGTCATTGGCACTCATTCAGATGCATCAGGAAATGGAAAACCGAATAAAACAAAGTCGTAGTAGAACATTCTGATAAAAAGATCCATCAAGTAACTATCGGAAAGGATCTTTCTTTTTGTATTTTCTTGCTCTGCAGTTCCACGTGTGGTGTGAACTGTACGTGTGGAAGAGATACTTCTATCTGAAAATCTTGATTTGATCGGAGTTCAGACCGTTGTGTGGGAATGGACATTGTTGATTTTATTGTCCCACCTATATAACCAATAGACGATCCGGGAATGTCCAGAAGCAGTAACGTTGTAGTTAGATCACTTATGAATTCGGCCGGATTGAACGTGCTGAATTTTAGGATTTGGTAGCTGTGGTAGTGCATGTGAAATTGGCAGCGCCTGAAAATCTGTACTAGATCACATATATATAAATCAAAGAGGAAGCAATTATATCAGACTGGTTTTTCAAACCGTTTCTCCTAGAAAGATCAATATTGTTTTAACTTTCATGTTTTTCAAATACTTTGTTTGTTAACAAATTTTCGACCAACTGAGGCTTTTGTTGATTTTCTGAGCAGCTTCTTTTGACCTTGCTAATTACAGTTAAAAAGTAAGCTGTTATCGTAGGTAGTTTTAGATTTCCTGAGGAGTTTAGGGTATAATCTAGAACATTTACAGAATAGTACTGGGAGTTATTTACTACATTTCTCGATATCACATGTTCTGAAAGTTCGTGCCGTTTACTTAACCTATCATGAGGTCATGTGGAATGGAGATCAATAAGCACCTCGAGCTAATTCAAAGCACCTTTTGTACCCTTTCCAGCTGTTATGTCCCTGAGCTGTTCCTTCGATAGTCACTACGATCTAAGGTTTCAACCCTTCGATACCATATTCAAATTTGATTACTGTTCGAATTTTTTTCTGAAACACAAAGTTTCAAATTTTCAAAAGTGATTCACCAACGGGAAGCAGACAAATGTTTTGCGGTACGACACTTTATCGGGCCCATGCAACTGCTCTTTTGGAGTTTCAGGAATTTTTCAAAGAGTTTTTCTAAACAGACTAATAAAAGTTCCTCGCAAACGAGAAGACTTTCTAGAATATAAAAGTTCCGAAACGCTTATCATCGAACGTAATTCAACAAAGTAAAGTGTAAAACTTTTGCTACAGTGCCTACTCGTACAGCTAACAATTATGACAGTTTCTTCCGCAGAACTCCAGCATACTGAAAAGGTTACATCTGTCAGATATTGTAATGAATGGACCTGACTTGCTTGTTATTTCACGATGTACAAATATGATTTTGATCAATTCGAAAAAGCTTCAAGAGCCACTTGGAATGGTCCGGAAAAAAGTGCACTGTAAATTGTTTACGCTAAACACCTTTCACCTCTTGATTGGAGATCTGCAACGAAATTCAAAAGTTGGCTAATGTCAGACATGACACAACCATGGTTTGAATCTTTGGCGATTTAGAAGGTGGATGGAGACCCACATTCCATATTTCTAAAGCTTCTGTACACCTCCATTCCACGTACTTCCATGAAGGTCGAAAAAACGGCACAAACTTTCGGAGCGTCCTCAAAAGGGCAAAAAAGTTTTGTGATACGTCAACAGAGGAGAGGAACATTTTTTTGATGCTATGCAGCACAGGTTGTGAAGTGGCTCTTCGCTTACCAGCTTTGTGGAAAAAAATGATGTGCGATAAAGTCTCCAGTAAAGTTGGTGTTAGTCATCTTCATCATCTTGTCGTATAATTTTTCCATGAAACACGTCAAGTTCTAAAAGACTCACAAATATTGATACCTACAAAAGTTGGGATTACCGTGTAGCATCCTAAACAGCGTTTGGGATAATATCTCCATACCATCTGAACGTAGCTCAAATGTGAGAACTTGTAAAATAATTTTTTCCCATAACAAATTTTCGTTCACCTCTCTAAGGCATTTATCAGTGAAACCAGAAACGAATCTTTCGAGTGGATCACGTAACACGGCTATCATTGTCCAATCTTCAAGGCTTGAGTTAAACTTGCTCTCTATTTCGGAAAGAGACGAATACTCATTGAGATATTTGCAAAATCTGTAAGCGTTTGAACTAGCATAGGCCCTACTTCCAAAACAGACAACGAACCTGTTTTGGTAGTACTCCTCTGATATAACCCTGTTATTTATTATGAATGCAGTTTCATTATAGAGATAACAGATTATGGCCACCAGTGCCGTAGAGAAATTTTTCTCAATTGTGCACCCAAGCAAACGATAAGCATCGGCAACCTCAAATTTCATTGCTAAGCGGCGCAATCTGATGCTTCATAAAGCCAAAAAATTCTTTACTTTGTATACTCTGTGATATACTCCACTTTGGAATGGAGGTACGCACTTTGATGAATTTTCTCCCAAGCAGAATCCTGAGGTTCAACACTCACAGCAGTATATTCTGCTATCCACTCAATGGTGGAATGACATGAAAAATCTCAAAATTTTAAATAATTTCAACCTTTTCCTCACCATATCTGTTAGCTTCATTTTTCTTTCTGCACATTTTCAACTGTAATCTGGTATTCTGAGATTTCCATAACAGCAGAATAACCAGAAACATTGTCAGTGTTTGATAAATGCGCCTAAGCCGCATCCGGTACTTCATTCCTACCTTAAAATTTTATGATTTTGATGAGGAAGTGCTCATCAGAAGCTCTTCTTTACTTGACAGAAACAACGAAATATTATTACGGGAAATAAATGCGCAAAAAATTGAAGAGACAAATGGTGCTGCCAAGAAGATCGCTTCGATGCAGATTTGGGATTTAGCGTCAATTGGAAATCTCTATATATGTAAAGCAGAAAATCTGTGAGTTTGTGTGTTTGTGCACATTCGGGTGCAGGGTGTGCAGTTTGTGCAGGCTGTGCAGAGTGTGCAGGGTGTGCAGGGTGTGCAGGGTGGGGAGGGGATAAGTGAACATGCTGATTAGAATACATTAATGACAGGACCGGGCGGAGCGCCGGGTTTGCCAGCTCGTTGTTTAATAATCTAAACGACATCTTTACACCAAGCATGTTCTGTTAATCAAACTTTCTTGTTCAATCGCGGTCCCAAATCTCAAAAAAATTGCGATGAAATGTCAAACTAGATGAAATTGCGATGAAATGTCAAACTGGATGTTTTCGCTTCAAACTGCATTTTAATGTTTCAAAAACAAATTTCTGTCCACCGAGGTTTCAAAACTAATTCAGCCTGGAGTTCAAAGTACAATTTTGCGTATCCACCCATCGATTCTGGATAACTACGAAATTGACGTTTTTAGGGTCCAAACTCAGCTTCGGTCCCGCAAAGATCGATAATTTTTATATGTTGTTCATGAAGGGTTCATGCTAAATCTGTCCACTTCTTCGCAACTTTGCCAACCAGATTTTGCTGGTTGCTCAGGTAGACTGGTGCTACTTTCCATGCACTACCACAATCCAAGTCAAAGGCAGTTGCTGTGCAGATCGGCGACTTAAAAGTATTTATCGTTTTCGGTTCTCCTGGTAGAGCTAAGCCCAAAAGCATGTTTGCAGCTCTAAAAAATATCAGTAACTCGCTTTTCTGGACGTAAAAAGCACTGTTTGGGCAGAAGGCTTAACCCGCCCTCTAAAGAGCGATTGACTCGTGAAGTTTGGATGGGCGGAGAAACCGTACCATCTCGGCGGCAATCAGAGTATCGCTTCCAGCAGACAGTCGTTTTAAGGGCTTTCGCTTCCAGCTCAAACAACACTTTCCACGTCAAGAAAAAAAAGTTATCAATATCTTCAAAAGCACCAAGGCATAGTTTTAGACTCGCTCGTCTAGGGCAACCAAGAACGATGAATACCTCAAAGTATTCATTCTGTCAAGCTACCGCCTTCAGTTATGAAATTAAAAATTCAGGCAACAACCGCATGAATCAACTGTTGTAGAAAATAGCTTCAATGATAAAAGTGAAGATAGCAGTGAGGGAAATAATGTTGATACTCAGTTGCAAATCTTCTATGAAAGGGTGGAGACGTCGCAGACGTGCTTCAAGTAAGCAGCAGCTGCAGGTAACACCGGCATCACTAATAACATCGGCAGCACTTTAGCATCGCACATTGTGTTTAAGGTATTCACGTCCCCATCCTTAAATCATCCTTCCTCTGTCACTTGACCACTGAGACAGTTTATTACTTTGAGATTCATGTGGAGCTTACTCACGTTTCATAAATATCAGAATACCAATGATGTATTGGCAGAAGCAGGAGTTTTGAGGATGGCTCAACAGATGCATTTCTAAAGGGAAATTGTCATTAGCACTATTGAGAATAAAAATACATTGAACCCTCTCCAGAAAATCACGCGTATAGGAAGTATTTGCAACTTTGGTTAATGCAGACTCCCAAGAAAATTCGATTAACAGAGAATGCATTGATGAAGCAAGAAAGAGATTGCGAAATTTTCAAGTAAACATACACAGCCAAAAGTACAAGTAGAATTTTCCAAAAAATACACCATTCAATTCTTTCAAAAATGAATAGCTGCGGAAGCGAAAGTATGCATATGTTTGTTGAATCATTTACTCGTGTTTATGCTTTCCACCATCCAATGGGTTGCTAATAAGTTCTGTCGCAATGATTGTGTTATGTATGTTTAATGAAATGATACATCTGCCTTTTAACACTTAGTCCCCTTTTGCTATTTTTCTATCTTGTTTTTTCAATTTGAGAAAATTCAAAAACATTTTCCGGCTTTGAAGTTAAAAATCCAAAGAGACAAAATTTTATGAAAGCACAATGCGTCGCTTTCCAAATAAGGCAGAAAAGAAAACAACTTGAGAACAGGCGATTTGTATGGGTAAAAATGCTATAGCTCTAGCACGTACACTGAAAAGGAATTAATATCCTGTTTTATCTATGTTAAGCTAATTAGTTTTTACTAATTGAAAACGGAATACTAGGGATGAAAAAGATATTGAAAGCCTTCTGCAATGTTTGCTTTCCATTATTTCGTTTTATTACCGAAATTTTTCACTTCTTTACTGAGGTATGGTTCAAGTATCTTTGTAGAGCGCGAAGTACCGCTAAAGGGAGTATCAAAGAGCCGTCGAAGAGAGGCGGACCTTTCCCCTTAGATAGAAAAAGCTAGAAAATCCTGCTGAGAGGGCAAATCGGGTCGAAGCCTTGTTGTTGCATATAGCGTTACTAGCTTGCTTACCCGGCTCCGCTCGGCCCTGTCAAAACAGTGTAATAAAGGTCCCATCCCTATCACTATAGCCTTCCCTGTGCCCACTTCTACACTTCATTTCCTGTTCCCTGTGTTGTTTCCGAAATCAGCATGCCCACTTACCCCCTGTGCCAACACCCATCTCTTCAGCTCAAATTTTGAAAAAAATCGATCAAATCGATAAAACTAATATAATACCAAGAACTAATATTGTATTCGGAATCGCCATGCTCACTTACCCTCTTGTGCCAACTCCCAGCCCTGTATCTCAAACTTTGCAAAAAATCGACAAAATCGATAAAAGTAATCGATAATTCTTAAAATTAATATTATATTCGGAATCCCCATGCCCACTTACCCCCTTGTGCCAACTCCCAGCCCTGTATCTCAAACTTTGCAAAAAATCGATAGAATCCATTAAAGTATCGATAATTCCAGAAACTAATATTGTTTCGAAATCAGCATGCTCATCTACCTCACTGTGCGAACTCCCAGCCCCGTAGCTTAAATTTTGCAAAAAATCAAATAGAAAAGTAAGCGATAATTCTGAAAACTAATATTCTAATCGGAATCGCCATGCTCACTTACCCCCTTGTGCCAACTCCCAGTCCTGTATCTCAAACTTTGCAAAAAATCGATAGAATCGATAAAAGTAATCGATAATTCTGAAAACTTATATTGTAATCAGAATCGCCATGCCCACTTACGCCCCTGTGCCAATTCCCAGCCCCGTAGGTGAACTCTGCAAAAAATCGATAAAAATCGATAAAATCGATAACAATCGACAACGAAAAGTAGCCTATGAAACGCTCCCTGCCCCGAAATGTATGTGTGCCAAGTTTGGTTCAAATCGATTCAGAAATAAAAATTTTTATTCCGCACATACGTACACACAGACATACAGACATACATACGGACATTCAGCTTTATATATTAGGTCGTTCCGAAAGTTTTTCCCGTTTTTCCAACCTATCATAAAAAGATGTGGAATGAAGGTAGGGAAACGCTTTGGGCACTATACGACGCAGCTTTTCTTCCTCTTTCTAGCAGTCATACTCCCATCGTCGCTTATTCCTGTGATCACTGAGATAATGGCCGAAATTTCGAACCCATGGTTTTTACCATGTCCAATTTTGGCAATTTTTCACAATCTTCTTTTTCGACTTTTGGGAAATCTTTGATAACAGCCAGATAGAGCAAACAAAGTGCAGTACAATGCAATTTTTTCGCATATCCAGCTGGCCTTTCAGTATTTTTTGAGATAATTTTTCCAAAAGTCTTCACTTTTGCAAAGTCTTGAAATACAGAAACGCCCGAAAACTGGCAAATCTACGGATTTTGAAGCTTTTAAAAGTCAGTTACGATTATCTACAATTTTTAGAAAGCAACTGAGCGTTTACCGCTTGGAAATATAGGGTTTCGCATTTTACGTGTACAGGCTGGGGCGGGATCCAAATCAAGAATTATGGGAACTTTATCGCCAAAGACCCCACAAATTGGAGAGAAATATATTCGTTAGAAAGAGAAGGAAAATCTGCATCGAATGATACCTTAGTTGTGCGCCGTCTTATGTTCTATGGCTCTTGGCATCCTCAAAAATGGAATTTGATAGCATCAGGAAAATAATTCTAAAAATTTTTTGAAGCCAGCTATCAACGCCGAAAAATTGCATTAAATTGCACTTTGTTTACTCTATCTGGCTGTTATCAAAGCTTTCCCTAAAGTCAAAAAAGAAGATTGTGGAAAATTGCCAAATTTGGACATGGTAAAAACCATGGGTTCGAAATTTCGGCCATTATCGCAGCGATCACAAGAATAAGCGACATGTGAGTATGACTGCTAGAAAGAGGAAGAAAAGCTGCGTCGTATAGTGCCCAAAGCGTTTTCCTACCTTTATTCCACGTCTTTTTATGATAGGTTGAAAAAACGGAAAGAACTTTCGGAACGACCTAATATAAGATTTCTCGTTGTTGTTACATTAGGATAAATTCTTGTACTTAAACCCGTGCTTCCCCATTGATCATGTTCTATCGGGACTTACCACCCTCCCCCCCCCCTCCCCGTTACACGGGGGTGGGGGGAGGGTGTCTCAAAGCTATCAAATGCTGACAGACTCAGGGCTATCAAATGTAAGTTTTGCCAAATGCGCAAAGTGCCGGAAAAAACTGAAACAAAAGTGCGACTGAGCTTATCACACAGTTCGATGGTTTGAAATGACACTTTGGCAACTAGCAGTAACAGTTCTCATAGTAATCATTGTAGCACGTGCGATATTACTGCGATACTATCAACGGCTGTGTAGTGTTGAGTCTTTTTTTTTGCAAAGCAATAAAAGATGCCTGCATTGCGGTAACGTATGTTCTACAAATCGAATATGTGCTGACTCG